CAAATTTAAAAAAAAAAGCCTTCAAAAGTTATATATAATAGTGTAATACACATATGGGCTGGAGTGATAGCACAGTGGGTAGGGCGTTTTCTTTGCATGCAGCAAATCCAGCCGACCCAAGTTCGATTCCTTCACCCCTCTTGGAAAGCCTGGCAAGCTACTGAGTGTATCTTGACTGCATGGCAAAGCCCAGCAAGCTACCCATGACGTATTCGATATGCCAAACACAGTAACAACAAATCTCACAATGTTACTGGACCTGCTCTAGCAAATCAGTGCTGTGCAGTGCAATAAACACATAAAATATCAAGAGAATAAATAATATAAATAATAGCAGTACAAATAAGTGTCACTCACAAAACAACCTAAATAAATGAAACAGAAGACTCTGCAACACAATTTTCTTTATAAAAGTAAACACAAACAAAAACACTGTCCTCCCATTGTTCATCGATTTGCTCGAGCGGGCCCAGTAACATCTCCATTTTCAGACTTCTTGTTACTGTGTTTGGCATATTGAATACCTCACGGGTAGCTTGCCAGGCTTTGCTGTGTGGGTGAGATACTCTCAGTAGCTTGCCAGGCTCTCCAAGAGAGGGGCAGAGGAATCAAACCCGGCTTGGCCGGGGCTGGTTGCGCACAAGGCAAACGCCCTACCACTGTGATATCACTCCAGCAAAAAGAAAATTGGCAAAAATATAAACATACATATGCATCCAAACAAGCAACGGAAAATATGTTCATTGCTAAACTTAGTGCAAGAGTCAAGAGATGGAAACAACCCAAATGTCCAAATATAGATGAATGGATCAGAAGCTGTGGTATATCAACACAATGGAATACTATATAGCTCTAAGAAAGAACAAAATCATGCAATTTGTAGAGGATATCATACTGAGTGAAGACAGGAAGAAAGAAAGAAAGAAAGAAACAGATATAGATCTATCTCATTCATATATGGGACTGAAGATACACAGAAAGGGAACAACAAAGGGCCAACGTTAATACCAGGGTAGAACTAACTCACACAACTGAGTTGGCTGTGGGAGGATTGAAAGGAGGGGAGTTTGGGTCCTTGGGGAAGGGAGGTGGGTAATCGGTGGTAGGCTAGATATACATAAAATAAAAACTGAAATTATGTACATAAGAAGCCATTATCAACAGTATTGTAAAACACAACATCTAAACTGAAAAAAATAGAAATAATGCTTTGTAAAATAAATAAAAATAAAAGGGTCCTTTTAATTTTAAAAAGGGAAAATATAAACAATAAAGCAGAAAAGTGGAATAGTGGTTATCACTGAGGGTACAGGAAGACAAGGAAGTCGCAAAGACCATGCCTGGCACTTCCAGTTGCTATGAACGTTTTCTTTATTTGGGCACATAGCAGTTCTTTCTGGTGAGTATTTTAACTGAGCCCAGACATTTGAGGCATTTCTATGGCTAGTATCTATTTCAGTAAGACTATTATATGCATTTTAATGAGAGAGAGAGAGAGAGAGAGAGAGAGAGAGAAATCATGGCTGGTATTTGAGCCAAGAGTAAGCTACCTCCATTAGACAGAGACTCATCCTCCACACTCAGGGTGTGTTCCCTTTATAAACTGCAGCAAAGTCACAGGGCCAGGGGCCTGCAGGCTACAGTGCATGTTCCAGAGGCCTGCCCCATGCCCAGCTATATGCCTGTTACTGTCCCAACCAAACAGCAACCCCATCTTGGGAGAGTCAGTGGGGCAAAGATCCACGGGGCAGACACAAGAGGGACCCTCCCTTGCAAGAATCCAGGGCAGGGGGTCCAAGTAGATTCTGGATAGTCCCTTTCCAGAGGGCTTCTGAGGCTGCATGGTTGGGGCAGCAGGCCTGAGTGGGACTTAGACCCAGCATTACACCCCCAGCCTGGGGGAGCCTCCCTGGGGAGGGGTGCTGAGGCCCATAAAACAAACAGACTCTCCTGACAGGACAGAGTGTAGAGCGACCTGGGCCAGGGAGGCATTTAAATGATGAAGTGACAGGCACTGAAGGGGGGGGGGGCGGTGGAGGGAAGCGCAGAGGTCAAGGCCATTCATCATTGCCAAGCTTATCTTCTGACAAGGGAGGGGCACTCCTGCCTCCAGATGGAGCAGGAAAACAGAAGGTTTGCACGGGATGGAGGAGTGCGGGCAAGTCCCCCCCACCCCAACCCCCAGCTTTGGTTTCGCTCAGTTAACTAATTTGAGAGAATGTGACACTGGTATTTGCTTTTTTTCTACAGGGACAGATCATTCCCGGCAGAGTGAGAAAGTGCTGTTTTCCTCTTTCCTGCTCTGAAAAGAAATGAGTTACGGTGGCAACTACACCCTGGTTAGAGGAAAACTTCTATTTTCTTGATACTTCGATCAATTCGCCTTAACGCTAACGATGATCTCTTGTTTTCCGGGAGCACTGTGGATCCGTGGTCAAGGATTAGGAAATAGCAGAACTGGGTCTGAGAATGAATGCCCTGACACTGACTAGCTGTGTGATCTGGAGTCTGTGGAGTCTCACTGAACGGTGACGATAATAATCGAGCGAACAGTGAAAGCTATTTGTGAAGGATGAAATAATGTAGCTGAAGTGCTTTAGCGCAGCATGTCTGCATAATAAGCACTCGATAAATTTTAGTTTTTAATCTTGATACCTCTGACACTCTATTCTATAAATAGAAACATTTGCTATTTCACGGATGCCTTATAGCATCAATTCTATGTGACCAAACATCTAATCATAAAATGATTATTTTGCAAACTGAAACTCTGCATTAACCATTTCCTCCTCCCATCCAGATATAAAGCAGGATTTCAGTGAACATTTAGTAGGTAATGATTATGCTGAAGGAAACAGTTCGTTCTATCCCTCTGCCTTCATGTTCTTTAAGTTTTCCGAGGCAGTATATTATATATTAAGCTGTTTAAACATCTAGTAAACTCATACTCCTTCATCCCCAGCCTGGAAAAAAAAATAGCAATATGTTTAGGAAACTGTGAACTTTCAAATTAGAAGGTAATTTTGCAGATGTTTTCCCATTCAAATAACAAATTCATGAGGTGGGCAGGGTCTCTATCTTTAGGCTTTTACAGATAAGAAAGATAAAACTTGAGGATAAACGACAGAACCACACGAATCAATAATATTTTCTATAAAAGGGGAATATTAGTAGGAATTGAGGAAATTAAGAATGCCAACATGGGCTGGAGTGATAGCACAGTGGGCAGGGCTTTTGCCTTGCATGCGGCCAACCTGGGTTCAATTCCCAGTATCTCATATGGTCTCCTGAGCACTGCCAGGAGTAATTCCTGAGTGCAGAGCCAGGAGTAACCCCTGTATATCGCAGGGTGTGACTCAAAAGACAAAAAAAAAAAAAAGGAATGCCAACGTTATTGAACTAAAAAATAAATCAGAGGTTATCAATAAAGAAGTCAGTTTGAAATAGACAAAGTGTGTGTGTGTGTGTGTGTGTGTGTGTGTGTGTGTGTGTGTGTGGTGGGGGTGTGGGTGTGGATAATGGCCATTGGTAAAATATAAACAAAAAATAAAATCATGAAGCACAGGGCTCTATGTTCCAGTTTTACAATTTGTTTACCCAATGTGTCTCAATATTTCTGGCTGGAAGTTTGGAAAGCAAAAATTTGACCTCTTAATTCTCTTAAAATACATTGTATGGGGCCAAAGAGATGGTCTAGGGATTAAGGCGTTTGCTTTGCACACAGTCAACCCAGGTTCAATCCCTGGCATTACATATAGTTGGCTTCCCGGACACCACCAGGAGTGACTGCTGAGCACAAAGGCAAGAGTAAGCCCTAAGCACCTCCGCTGTGGCCCAAACCTCCTCACTCAAATATTTGAAAAAAAAATTTCCTAATACATTTTAAAATTTTATTTTATTTTTGGATTTTTAAAAATTACATTGGAGCAGGCTGGAGAGATAGCACAGCGGGTAGGACGTTTGCCTTGCATGCGTCCGACCTGGGTTCGATTCCCAGCATCCCATATGGTCCCCTGAGCACCGCCAGGAGTAACTCCTGAGTGCAGAGCCAGGAGTAACCCCTGTGCATCGCCAGGTGTGACCCAACAAGCAAAAAAAAAAATTACATTGGAATAGGATTTAGAGAATAAAGATTGATGATAGAGATGGACGCTTAGGGCTTTTGCTCTTTGCATGTCTGACTGTCTAACCAAGCTCTGATCTAAATTAGGACTGCATGGAGAGGAATGCTGAGAGCAGCGAGCCCAGTTTCACCCTCGCTTACAGGCTGTGAGTGAGATATGATGTATATCTCACAGTCGTAGCCAGAATGGGTCATTCCACCTGCCCTTTGCCCATTACACCCACACAGTTTTTTTTGAGGGGAAAGATTGTGGATCAGATATCACATTGGCTCTTCATATAACCCCCTATAACATGTGTGTATAGCATGCTTCGATCACAGAATTGAATACTGCACTTTTTACATTTTGAAAGATTAAAGAAATGAACAGCCCTGAAAGTTATGTAAAAACAGAGGTATACATCCTCTGTGTGAAACAGCTTTCCCTTAAAATTCAGATAACTTTTTCTCAGCTGGCCAATACCTCATCTTACTTACTAAGTAACTTCCATTACTAAGCAACTTCCACTTTGACTCAATACCTTTTGCAAACCTCAATGTCCACTAAGGGCAATGAATAGTACAATTACTCCCATTTTAAAGTCAAAATTTTTTCATTCAGAGATGTTTCGTAGCCAACTCAAAGTCATAAAAAAAGTCTTTGATGGTAAGACAGAAATTAAACATTAAGCTTTCTGATAGTTATCAGTCTATAAAAGACTTACACGTAATTTCAAATTTAACTAGAATAAATTAATTTGAAAACATGTTTGACATTTCACTGAAAAAATACAAGGCCACATCTTCAAAAAATAAATTCTTCCCACTGATAGTCAAATGCAAGTACCAGAGCTCAACTCTTTAATTCTAAGTTGGTATAAGTGAAACAAATTCTTACCATGATCTTCTGAAGACACTGGTGACCTAAAATGAGATAATAAGCATGATAAATCTTTTGAATATGATACTGGTAATAATAGCAACAATAAAGAATCATTTTATAAAAATAACACACTCCAAACCCAGTTAAGTTGTAATTCGATATAGTAGACAGTGTAATTAATGTACTGTTTGCTTCCTCTATTTCAACCAAGAGCTCCCAAAGCTTACCTGAATTGGTTGGAAAGTGGGGGTTATAAAAACATCAGTCTAGAGTATGGTGCCACTGGATGGCCACAAACCTAGCTCAGGCTGGATTTATAACACACAAAAAGGGAACACATAGAAATATGGTAGTAAATAAAATCCTATGAAGTCATAAAGGGCTGGCGGCCAGGTCTCTGGAGAAAATGTCCGTCATGTAAATATGGACCTGATGGAGTGTAGGTGAAAAGAAATGATTTGTTCAATAACAGAATGAGACAGAAGTGAAAGAAATGGAATGTACTCTTACAATTACTAGAGTTTGACTCCATCAGGCAACTATTATGATATCCCCAAACTTTTATTACACAATAACACATCACTTGGGGTTCAGTTCTAATTATGTTGATAAGATGTCAGTGAAGAATTTACCAGCCCCTTTAGCAATAAAAATCATGTTTTTTTCTTCCTCTGCTGACTGCTAATTGAGTTACTTTGAATAATACAAGAAAACTGTAGATGAATTCCCCTTGGGCTTGAAAGAAACAGTTTTTTATCAACTCATTGTTCTCTGGAAAGGTGTTAGAATTTTAGAAGGCAAAAACAAGAGACCAGTTGAAAGGAATTGTCTCCTCTAAACAATGGTTCTGTTTGATCTCAATACAAGAGAGAAGAACAAAGGCAGAGAGATGAGTTTGGTCTTATTGCTACCCATCAATATAACTGATTTTTAAATTTTCATTTATTTTTTGTTTCTATGTTAGGTGCCGTGGTTTACTGTTAGTGGTAGGGTTTCATGCATCACAAATGCTAGCACAACACCCTCCTCGAGTGTCCACTTCTCATCACACTGCCCTAGCGGCGTTTTCCTACTCCTATCCCTTTAATTCCTGTGTGGTATACCTCCTACTGAAGACCATTGCTCTGTTGCTTTTGGGCATTTGCTATACCTTGACTATGTGTCCTTACATCTTACGGATAGGAGATCATTTTATTGCTGTTCCTCTACTTCTGATTAACTTCATTCAGCAAGATACCCTCCGCACACATTCACATAGCAGGAAATTCTATAATTTTGTTTTTTCTTATAGCCAAGTAGTATCCATTTTGTGTATGTACCACAATTTCTTTATATAGTCATCTGTTTTGAACACTTGGGTTTTTCTCAAATTTTGTGAATTAATGTTGCAATGAACATAGGAGTGTAAATATCTTTTCTGAATAGAGTTTTTTCCCCCAATTCAAACTATACCACAAAACTGTAGTAATTAAAATAGTGTGGAACTGAGATAAGGATGAATACTCTCAGGCCAACGGAACAGAACTGAGAGTCCAGAAACAGATCCTCAGGTATAATGATATTTAATTTTCCCTAAAGAACCAGAGTATAAGATGGATCAAGGAAAACTGCTTCCGCAAATTATGCCAGGAAAACTGGTTTATCAGAAGCACAAAAATTAATTTTGATCCTTTCCTAATACTGTGACAAAAGTGAAATCAAAATGGATTAAAGACCTTGATATCACCCTTGAATCCATTAATTATTTTGAGGAAAACAGGCAGAATTCTTCATGACATTGAATCTTCAGGGATGCAATGCTATTGGCTAAGAAAATGGAAGCAAAGATAAGCAAATGAGACTACATCAAATTGAGAAGTTTCTGTACCACAAAAGAAACAGAATAAGAAGACATCAGCAGACTGGGAGAAAATATTTGCCCGCCACTCATCTGTTAAAGGGGTAATATCCAAGATATATAAAGCACTGGTGGAACTTTACAAGAGAAAAACAACCAATCCCATAAAAAAAAAAAGGGTGGAAGAGTTGAAAACAACTTTCTTAAAGAAGATTCATATTGCCAAAAGGCATATGAAAAAAATGATATGTAACACTTAGCATCAGGGAAGTTAAGATGAAAACAAGGTATCATCTCATACCATCAACACAAAGAACAAAGACAAAAAGTGGCTGGTGTGGATGGGGGAACATGAGACCACTATCATTGCTGGTGGGAACATCTACTGGCTCAGGCTTTGGACCCTTCTCAAAAAACGAGGAATCAAGTTTCCATATGACCCAGCAACTCCACTTCTTGGTATCTATCCCAAGGGCACAATAGAACTGATTTATAAAAGAAATGATGACCAATTTAGGAGCAAGAATGAGTCAGTGGATGCACAGTGGGCTGAAAGAAACATTAAGTTGCTTTGGTTGATTGACAGCACTTTGATTTATCTATTGCTCGGTATGATTTCTGCCCACGATGCAAATGCAAGTAAAATGCAAAATATAAACAGCAGCAATAGCGAGAAAGTTCATGTCTGGTTATATTGATTTTATGAGTCTCCTTAAGTTGATCTTCGTGTGTGAAAACAACACAGTCCCAGGATGTGTTGGAGAGAAAGTTGGTGCCCGAGGGGGGTGGCGGGCAGGATGACATGGGGCATGGGAGGGCAGGGGTCACACAGTGGAACTCCTCCTGATTGCTCAGGGGAAGCAGATACACTCCTCCTTGGAGCTCCCCTATGTCACCGTGTCCACACACTGTCCTCGTCAAGCTATGCCTCCTTGTAAAGTAAGATCACATCTAATGCAAACAGAATGGGTCACGTCGATGAAAATGTGTTGAACGGGATCGATTTTTTAACACCACTGCACTGACTTGAAAACTCGGACACATTCTCCCGCATGGCACCAAGCCATAATGTCACTTTTAAATGACCTTTAAATATATTGACGGACTGCAGGAGCCCCTGGGAGGGAAGGGCTTAGAAATGAGCATCCAGCAACAATGCGAGTACTCTCAGAACCCAAGGATGCCCGAAACTCCAGGCCAATGGAGACACCCACCATTTGCCTTCCTGACTACAAAGCACAAAGTGGAAGAGATGAAATGGGATTACAAATGCAGTCCAAAGAGAAACATATTATTTGACATAAAAAGAGTAAGCATTAAGCTGCCCGAAGCATACAAGAAGAGGACGCAACAAGGAATGGGGTATGTGGGTGTGTTTTCTGCTGGGAAGTAAGCAAAACAAAGTTTGGAAGGTTTGCCATTAATTTCTCCCAAAGCCTGAGGAACAAAGAAAAACTCCTGCCAATAGGAGACTCAGTATCTGAGGTGGGGGCTTGAGGAGATGGGGGTCTGGCTGCTCTTCCCTACCAGCAAAGCACTAATATTAAATCTGAAAACTTCCAGATGGCTCCACTCACCTCCCCAGGGGCCGCATTCAGGCAGTGGGGAGAGGCTATTGATTTCAGTGTTTGGGGAGGATTAGTCATGTTGAGGTTCTGGGCGGAATGTCTCCCACACGCCTGGATTTGTGGAATTTTAAAGACATATGGAGTATTTCAATCCTCACTCAGTATTTCACCTTTCACTTTAACGAGCCACTAAATTACACCACGGAGACAGGCACATCATTCATTATTGCTGGAGACGGGCATAAAGTTTTACAGAACTTCGCTCAGGAGAGAAGAAATATCATTAAATTGGCAAGGTAATTTAGTTATTATTTAAAAAAAAAACAGAGGTTGAATCCCAGCAACAGATAATTTCCCTCAACTTGACAACTAAGGCATGCCTGAAAGTTCACAGCTTATTCCCCTCTGCACCTGGGGGGCGTGGGGGTTTGGTCTCAGACTGTTTATTTCTCCTCCATAAACACTTGACCTTGGAAATGACATCTGCTCTTCTAACATAAGCCTTTATTGGCATCCAAACAACCCCCAGATTTAGAGCTCTCCTCCCCATTTCTTTCCCCACCACTAACGTCTATTAGAGTCTACAGAACGTTTGAATTTGACTTTCCTTTGTCCCCCCCCCCCCATGTATTGACATTTCCTTCAAAATCAGTAAAGGAAAGGAAAGCAATAAAAACAGAAATTCAAGCCCAGAATTTCCAACTCTTGTATTTTATTACTATTATTATTCCATTCTTCGTGGACGGAGTGATAGCACAGCGGGTAGGGTGTTCGCCTTGCACGCTGCTGACCAGGGTTAGATTCCTCTGTCCCTCTCAGAGAACCTAGCAAGCTACCGATAGTATCCTGCCCAGCAAGCTCCCCGTGGCATATTCGATATGCCGAACACAGTAACAACAAGTCTCACGATGGAGATGTTACTGGTGCCCGCTCGAGCAAATCGATGAACAATGGGAGGACAAGTGCTACAATGCTATTATTCTATTCTTCAGGTTTACCTTCATTTCTGTTGACCCAAATCTGAATAATAATTATAGTTGAGGGGCTAGAGAGATAGTACAGTGGGGAGGGTATTCGTCTTGCCTGTGGACGACCTGACCCTGGCATCCGGTATGGTCCTCCTTGCACTGCCAGGAGAGATTTCTCAGTGCAGAGCCAGGAATAACCCCTGAGCATTGCTAGATGTGGCCCTTGCAAAATATAATTATAGTTGAGCCCCTATTACACAATACTCTGTGCCATTAGAAGGGTGTACAAAATAAACAGAGTTGTGAGGGAGATATGGCTGCTACCCCTGTCACCCCGTTGATTTGGCTGACTTGAGTGGCTGTCTGGGTATGTCCCTCTGCTCTCACCACTCCATGTGTGTTCCTCCAGAAGTGTGGTGCTCAGGCTCAGGTGCTCAGGCTCAGGCTCAGACATCAGGGAGAGGATGTCCCACTCGCTGGTGAGTTAAGAGGACAGCCTTCCCACAGAGAGACGGACTGTTCTGGAGTTGGGGGCACTTGAGTAGCAATGCTCCCCTGCTAGATCCTCCAAACAAGCACTCAAGGGGAAAGCAGGGTGTCTGTTTGCAGAAACCTAGTCCAGTGAAGGAGAAAAACCCACAAATAACAAATGTAATGAACAAGACTTG